GAGGACGAATTCGCCGCTGCGGAAGAGAATTACCTAGAAGCGGCGGAGACGATGACTTTGTGGTTGCAATAACGGTGCGTAAATTAGATTCTCGTACTTTGCGGGAATGGGAACTACAGTTAGGAGGTGCAAATGATCCTCCGCTTTATTCAACATTAAGTGAATTTCTAGTCGGAAAAATGCGTGCGCTCGAAGCCATCTCCGACGTCAGAAACGATTCTAATAGCAAAAATCCCCGTACAGGAACCACGAAGTCCCTCGTCTCAAACGTCTCTCACAAATGTATGGCTTGTCAAGAACCTCATGCTCTGTATCAGTGTAGTAAATTTAAATCTTTCTCCGTAGATCAGCGGAAAAATCTTGTAAAGACACAGCGCTGTTGCTATAATTGTCTCGGAAAGGGACACTTTCCAAGTACCTGCTCTTCACAGAAGCGATGCACTCACTGCCAAGGGAAACATCACTCGCTTTTACACCACGAAAGCGAGCTTAATTCTTCGAAGGAATTGGAAACTTCGAAAGCTAATGATTCTAAATCTGACGTTCCGGTAAGTGAGCCGAAATCCACGCTGGCATTAAAGGTACAGATTGAAAGGGTCTCCAATCCAATCACCACTCCAGTCTTACTCGCCACGGCCAGAGTCTTAGTTAGGACGACTGAAGGTGCGCTACGGATACGAGCGCTAATAGATACAGGTTCCGAAGCCACCTTTATAACGGAAAGGGCAGCACAGGCTTTGCATTCCAAGCGCCAGAAAACTAAAGTTCGCGTCACGGGATTAGGAGGTCGGTGTTCTAATGTCTCCAATTATCGTACATTCATTACATTAAGCTCTTGCGGTTCCGAGTTTTACCATGTTAATACCCGAGCTCTCATTTTGCCTACTCTTACGTCGTATAAGCAAATGCCAAAGGTCGACCACGAGCTATTCCCTCACTTGCGAGATTTACAATTAGCGGATGCGGATCCATCTAACCAAGACCGTATTGACTTATTGATAGGCGCGGATATCTACGGTTCTATCTTATTAGAGGGGTTACGCAAAGGTTCTGAAACAGAACCAGTTGCCCAGAGAACCATCTTCGGCTGGGTCATATTCAGTCCTTACAGTTCCATTAGGAATGTGGACCAGACTACTAGTCTGCACGCCACGGTGTCTCCTTCGGTGGACGACGAACTTCGCAAATTCTGAAAGTTAGAGGCAATTCCTTTTAAGCGACCGCTAACTAAAGAAGAAGAATATTGCGAAAATCTTTTCGTTTCAAGCCACTATCGACGCCCCGATGGGCGATATGTAGTCAGACTGCCCTTCAAAAGGGATGCTGTAACTGAATTCGGGAACTCTTTGCAAATTGCAGTTAAATCTCTGATTCGTCTAGAAACTCGTCTGTCGAGAGACCCTGCCTTGCATGAGGCCTACAATCGTTTCTTAACTGAATATGAGCAACTTGGGCACATGGCTCGAATCACGCCTTCAGACCAAGTTGGAAGTTCGACGTTCTACATGCCCCACCATCCTGTTCTTCGCGAAGCTAACAGTACAACCTCGTTGCGAGTTGTATTTAACGCTTCCAGCCCTACTAACGTCGGTTTTTCTTTAAATGACCAACTCCTAGCAGGTCCTAAGTTACAAGAGGATCTTCCTTCTATACTCTTACGTTGGAGAACACATTGATACGTATTTATTGCCGACATTGCCAAAATGTTCCGGCAAACATTAGTCCATCCCTCTGATACCGACTATCAGAGGATAGTATGGCGCCCCTGTCCTGATGGCCCAATAGTGCATGGCAGGTTACTCACCGTTACTTACGGACAGAAACCATCACCTTATCTAGCCAAACGCTCTGTGAAACAGTTATGTATTGACGAAGGGGCAAGGTTTCCACTAGCTGTGTTGGTGCTCGATGAGAGCACGTACGTCGACGACGCACTGTTTGGAGCGTACAAACAATCTCAAATACTTGAAATGCGCGATCAATTAAATAATTTATTGAAATTAGGAGGCTTCCAGCTGAGAAAATGGGCGTCTAGCCATGAGGAGCTTCTCACTGATGTGCCTATAAGTGAACGTCTGGATCTCTCTAGTGTGTCCTTTCAAGAAGACGCTTCTATAAAGGCGCTAGGCTTGTCTTGGAATCCTTCCAACGACTCCTTTTCATTCTCGCTCAAGTTTTGCAAGCCTAAAGAGGCTTCAAAACGATCAGTGTTGTCAATTATTTTACGCATTTTTGACCCATTAGGCTTGATCGCTCCCGTGGTAGTTTCCGCAAAAATCTTTCTTCAGGAGCTGTGGATGCGAAGACTCGATTGGGATACACCCTTGCCCACCGACCTATTAGAGTGGTGGGATACATATTACTGCGGCTTACAGCAGCTACGAGAGATCTCTATCCCTCGGTGGACTACGCAGGGCCCAGAAGTTTTAGGTCTTGAACTACACGGATTCTCAGACGCTTCCAGCCGAGCGTATGCTGCTGTAGTTTACATTAGAGTAATAACCTCCATGGATCAATTTGACGTAATTCTGCTGATTTGTAAAACCAAAGTTGCACCTATTAAAACTGTTAGCATCCCCAGACTAGAACTCTGCGCTGCTGCACTGCTCGCTCGACTCGTTAAATTCGTACAAGTTGCTCTTAAATTACTATCCGTGCCGGTGTATTGCTGGTCGGACTCTAAGAGCATTCTTGCCTGGCTGCGACAGCACCCGTCCATCTGGAAAACATTCGTCGCGAATCGAGTGTCTGATATACAAACGCGATTACCTTTCGCTAAATGGGGATACGTCGAATCAAAATTGAACCCTGCTGATTGCGCCTCCAGAGGAGTAGAAGCTACTACTCTCAGAGGAAAGCAGCTTTGGTGGAAGGGACCCCCTTGGCTCAGCCAACACTCTACTTCGTGGCCGGAGCATAATCCTGCGATGCCGGCAGAGACTATCCCGGAAAGAAAGAGCGTTCAGGTTCTAACAGTAAAACGCGAGTCTCTCGAATGGGACTTACCGACGGAAATCTCTTCGTGGCCACGTCTTCTTTGAATAACCGCTTACTGCATGATATTTTCTTATAACCTCAGAAAACGTGTAGGCGCTTCGAGCACCGTCCCGAAAAGCGAAACAATCTCCCTAGCTAACGCCATTAGGCGAGCTCGTTCCCTTTGGATAGCCAAGGTCCAGGATCTATATTTCGCCGAAGAGATTAAAACGCTTAAGTTGTCAAAACCCCTACCGCAATCCAGCCGTTTGAAAGGTTTGACTCCGTTCATTGATTCGGACGGACTATTACGAGTAGGCGGGCGCTTAGAACACGCGCCTTTCTCGTTCGAAGAGAGACACCCCATCATTTTACCTCGTCACCGAATCTCGGACCTCATAGCGGAGCAAGCCCATAAACGTTGCCTCCACGGAGGAACGCAATTGACGCTCCGAACTATAAGACAACAATTTTGGATAATAACTGCTCGAAATTTGGTCAGGTCCCTCATACGAAATTGCGTAGTGTGTGTTCGCCAACGAGCAGACCCCGTAACCCAATTGATGGGTTCGCTACCTAAACCGCGAGTAACTCCGGCGCGCCCCTTCCAGCATTGTGGAGTTGATTATGCCGGTCCATTTAAAATTCTGCCCAAGGTAGGTCGCGGCCAAAAGACCTATAAGGCGTACATTGCACTTTTTGTGTGCCTCTCCACTCGCGCGATTCATCTCGAGTTGGTAAATGACTATTCGTCCGGCGCCTTTCTAGCCACCCTTAAACGATTCTCGGCTCGGCGTGGTCTTCCTTCGGTACTTTACAGCGACAACGGAACCAATTTTCACGGAGCAGACCGTGAACTGGCCAGAGCCTTCAAAGTAATCTCTAGCGATACGAATCTACAAGCCCATCTGGCTACCAACAACGTGATTTGGAAATTCATTCCTCCCTCCGCCCCGCACTTCGGAGGTCTGTGGGAAGCTGGAGTTAAGTCCGTAAAACATCACTTGAAACGAATAATGGGCTCTCACACTCCTTCCGTTGAAAAGTTCACTACTCTTTTAACGCTAATAGAAGCCTGCTTGAATTCTCGGCCTATCGCTGCCTTGTCTGATGACCCCAATGACCTTTCCTCTCTCACTCCTGGTCATTTTTTGATTGGAGGCCCTTTGATATCAGTACCGGAACAGTCAGTGCTGGATCTATCTGAGGGAAGACTCGATCGTTGGCAGCGGGTGCGTCTTGTACAGAAACGGTTTTGGAAAGTATGGTCAACAGACTATTTGCATACTTTACAGCAGCGAACAAAGTGGCAACAGAGCTGTGCTAACTTAGCTAAAGACGAGCTTGTAATTGTACGAAATGAGCTGCTACCTCCTACTAAGTGGGAACTGGGACGGATACAAAAGTTGTATCCGGACCAAGACGGACGAGTACGGGTGGTAGACGTCAAAACCGTCTCGGGAATCTATAAGCGGCCCATCACCAAACTGTGCCGTTTACCCATCTCTCATAACGAATCTCAGAAAAGCGAGTTACACGGCGGGCGGCGTGCCCAATCCGTTTCCCTTTGTACTCGTTTGCGTCGTTTCAAGATTAAATAGATTAATAAGTATCTTCTCCTAGGTTTAAGTTGTATGTGTAAGCTGAATTCCTCGTATATATCTATAAGTTATATATCTGTAAATCGTAGATCTACGTAAGTTAAGTTCATCTTAAAACTCGATCTCGTATAA